AGCAACCAAATAAGCAACCGAATGAGCTGATATGAATGAGCTGATACGGATGAAGCAACCGAATGAAGCAACTGAATGAAGCAACCGAATGAAGCAACCGAATGAAGCAACCGAATGAAGCAACCGAATGAAGCAACCGAATGAAGCAACCGAATGAGCAACCAAATGAAGCAACCGAATAAGCAACCGAATGAGCAACCAAATGAAGCAACCGAATAAGCAACCGAATGAGCTGAGAAGCAACCGATACGGAGGAGTTTGCTGATACGGAGGAGTTTAGTTCATACGGAGGAGTTTGCTGATACGGAGGAGTTTAGTTCCTACGTAAGAAGCAAGAATAAGAAGCAATATAAGTAGTATTTCATTCATTACACTGATTCTAATGATCCAATCACTGAGCTTGTTAACCCAGTAGTGGTACTGTTCTCAGTTGGTAAAGTTAGTTCACTGTTCACGGTCGTGTTACTTGTTGGCGAAACAAGAACACCAACACCATCACCATCATCATCATCATCATCATCACCAAAGCCAGTGTCCTCCTCATCATCTTCGATGTCCAACAAGTATTTCATGTACTCAGTGTTGTCCTTCAACTCCTCGTTGGTTGGAGGCTTCCATTTGGCCCTATGTTTTCTTTTCTTGTCATTTCTTACCCTTGAGCAGTAGTCATTCCTTCCTAGACCAAACCACTCATAATTGTGGTAGTTGCTGTGGCAAAAGTTCCGCTTGACAAGATTTCCACTAGAGTCTCGCTTCCTTGAATGAGTATGGGCAGAGCACAAAGGGACCCTACATAGCTGACACATACTGTATGTATTGCTACCACACATGTAACAAATATTTCTGCTTCTTGACTTGGTTGGTCCTGTTGCTATCAAATGTTTCTTATACTCACTCTGAGTGAAGCAAAATCTTCCCATTGCCTTATACTCTGCAATAGTCTGCAAATTGTGGTAGGCAAGGAGCTTGCCATTCCTAAGGAAAGTCTTACATGCTTTCCTTCGATCTGCTCTCTGGCATTTGATTCTGTGCTTTTCTTGCGTGTATTGTCTAAGCCTTGCATCACAATTATATGCCTGCTCAACAGGGTCATACTTAATCATTTGCAAAGCCAGTCTTTGACGGAATTCGCGATAGCTCATTACTTTGCTCAGTTTCCACTCATCACCCAGGCTCCCATCAGTACACTCCTTGTAGATATCATAGGCTGTAGCAATTGCCAACGCCTTTGCATGATTGATTGCCGCATGATAGTATTTCCAYGATTTGTAACCAATATTGGCTCTGGAGATGTATGCATCAATATGGTCCAGTTTCCCATAAGAATACAGATAAACCTCACGAGACTCATTCATTTCAATGCCCCACACACGCTTGTCTKTCCCCCTTCCTCTCTCCTTCTGATGGATGTAAAAGGATGACGATGAAATAGAGTTCACTGATCCCAAGTTACATGCTCCTGTACTCTGAAATGAACAATGGACTCGTCTGTAGGCTCTTGTCCCTTTGTCTAAATCTGCTGGTACAGTTTTGACGGCAGTTATGGGCTTAATCATACGTGACGCTTTGGCTCGTGATTTCCCATTCGAATCACCTGTGGCATTCTTCTTATGAAAATACTTGCCAGGAACCTTGGATGGCAACCGGTTCTTAGCAACTGTTCCCATCATGCCCAAGCCTTGCTCACCCATCCAATCCAAAATVGAATCTGATACAAAGAAATTGTCTGCTGTGATATGAGGTGGCGATCTCCAAGTCTTACCAGGACCTATGTTAGGAAGAACAAAGGCATCAACTAGGTGATGCACTTCAGCTGGGCCAGTGCAGGAATGCCTGTCGTCATCGGATTTCCACCCACGGTATCGATGTTTCCAGGCCCTTGGTCGGATYCGATCAACGTCTGACATCAGCACAGTCTGTCCACCCCTTGTAATCATCTTGCCTTTCAAGTAGTTAACAAGTGGACCACCAAAGCCTTGGTAGGGCCAACTTGTCTCGTCAATACATAGATCCAAGCCAGCATACTCCGTGAAGTAATTAGTGTTATTCACGATAGCGTGATAGATGAAGTCAAACTTGTAAGCAACAKTGCCAGAGTTCCTTTCAGAATTGTTCTTGCAAAGCTTCAAGTTTCTTTTGATCTCATGCCATCTAGTGCGTGTCATTGTATTCGCAATGTCCTCATTAAATGAAAGGTCTTTAGCATCCCATCTAAACTTTATATTTTCACTTGCTCCTTCACAAGCTCCATGCAGAAAAAGGATGCCATCAAAATGAACTGCTTCAGGTAAGGTTACAGGTTTGACTTGGTGTCCTTCCCCTTCATTGGAATCCATGATGTACACATTTGTATATCTCATGACCTTGTTGTAATACGTGAACTTCTTCTCTGGTTCACTTTGGTACCGCTGAACATCTGCAGTGTCAGGAGCAATAGGAAGGAGAAGCTGGTAGAAAAAGAACGCATCACCATTTTCAATACGATCCTTCGTGAGGCCATGCTGCTGAAGCTTGTAAATATCCAACTTTCCCTTCCTCTCATCAGGAAACATGTTGTCTCTAGTAGCAAACTTCCTTGCAAACTGGTTGTTAGGATCTTCCACTGTAGGATCCGCATCCCACCTTTGGTAATGAAACTTCCATCCCTGTTCCTCCCTGATGGGTTCCTTGCCAAGACCAGATAAGTGTTTAGGAACTTCGACAGGCTTACACTCTGAAGGAAGGAAGTGACCTTTGTACTTCCCCGTACCTGCTTCGAACTTGGGTTTGTAGTAATAAGGATGCCACCCACCAGGATTATCAACATCTCTCCAATGCTCAGGTTCACCTTTGTCAACCTTGGGATCCTTTCTTTCATAACCCACCGGGACCTTTGGGTAGTTCAGAGTGTTGTCGACGATGGTTCCATCTTTCCAAAAGAAGAACTCAGTATCATGAGGCTCAATTGCATTGTCCCAATTCCAAGCTGTTTGTTGACTCTGAGTGATTACATTAAAGAACTCAGCTTGAGAAGCCTCCTTGTCACTCATTCCAGAAGCTTCTGAATCATAATTAGGCTCAGTTTCAAGAACTTCCTCATCACTTGAGCTGTCCTCATCCTCGTATAAAGTTTCCACATCTGATTCCAACTCAAATGCTGCTTCAAAGGCAGATTCTTGGGACTCAAAGATGGCTGGTTGTTGTGTTGTCCTTGTTGTTCTTCTTGAACGTCGGTTGGTTATATTGTTGAGTGGCATTGATTCGTTGATAGCGTCTTTAGTCGCTGATATGGAGGATGCTGATATCGTCGATGCGTGTGAGGCTTGCTTGGATCAATGGCGTTGCTGATACTTTTACTGGTGATACTGTGTCCGCTGATACGGAGGATGCTGATACGGTGTCCGCTGATACGAGTCGCTGATACAAGTCGCTGATACAAGTCGCTGATACAAGTCGCTGATATGGAGGAAGCTGATATAGTCGATTCGTCGAGTTATCGTCGATTCGTCGATTTGTTGATAGCGTTGACGCGTTGGAAGCTTCCTTGGATTGATAGTGTTGCTGATAGTGTTGCTGAGTACTGTTGGTGATACTCTTGCTGGAGATTTAGTGTTGCTTATTAGTGAGGATGATGCTGATAGTGTCGATGGAGGGGTGGCAAGCGATTGTCGGTTGTCGGAATGAGAAGCGCTCTCACTGGAATTATGGTAGCGTCGGAACATAGTTGTGAGGACTCCTCTGTGTCCAATAATGGACAACGAGTTGCCTTGCTGCCATCAGCATCACCATGAAGGATCAGTGTTGGTGCAACATTGGAGGTGCAGCATTGGATGTTATTGTAGGTAAATATGTTCATCGAGAATTTATTTCAAGCACTCCGACAGACATCGTGACAAAAATTCTATAAAAAATGGTGTGTTCCGACAAGATTTCGAGATGTCAGTCGGCGCGCTCGACATATTTTACACGGGAAAAAGGTAGCCAAAAATCGACGACCAGGTCGTACGTCTTGCCGCCAACGCTATACAATACAGTTTATCTTTAGTAAGAATCATATCTACCAAGAGTAGTTGCAATAGACTTGAGCAATACGCCAGGGGCTGGCTCGCTGGTCCATTGAGTCGGCCTGGGCCTACAGTTTTAGATGCGTCTGGAATCATGACGATTCATATCTACTAACTTTGCTAGAGGAACTGCTCCCACTTCCACTTGCACTACTACCAAAGCTGCTCATACTATCATCACTCCTCCTCATCTTCCTCCGAGCCTCGCGGTCAAGTTTGTATTCCTCCTCGCGTTGTTTCAAATACTTAGCTCTGTTCTGCTCAAACAGCTCCTTTGCTCTTCTATCATTTGCTGCTTCCCTAGCCGCAGCAGCTTTCTTTGCTGCTTCCTTCGCTGCTTTCTTTGCTTCCCTTGCTGCTTTCTTTTCTTCCTTGGTTGGTTCCTTTGCTACTGCTACTCTTTTTGCCACGCGTTTTGGTGGTTTCTTTCTTGGAGGACGCTTGTTCCCTGCAGCTGGAGGAGGCTTCTTCCTTGCTGCAGCTGGAGGAGGCTTCTTCCTTGCTGCAACACCAGATGTCCCAGCACCAGCTGCTGATTGCCATCTAGTAGGCAAACGAGTGTCCAGCATCGATTCAGCTGCTGGTACTGACATTCGAGCTGGCAACTGAGCAGCTCTAGCAGCTGGCAACCGAGCAGCTCTAGCAGCTGGCAACCGAGCAGAGCCAGCAGCTGGCAACCGAGCAGCGGCAGCAGTTGGCAACCGAGCAGTTGGCAACTGAGCAGCCGGCATCCTAGCAGAGCCAGCAGCCGACATCCAAGCAGAGCCGGCAGCCGGCATACGAGCAGCTTGCATTCTATCACTGGCAGCATCCCTCTTCAAAGCCTTAATCAAACCCTCAATAGTTGCCACTATCTCACCATTAAACAGATGCCTAAAATCATGTATCCAAGTCATCAGTTGTTGAACCTCCTGCATCTCAGCACCAGCAGAGGAAGATGAAAGCAATATATTGATTTGATGTAAAGCAGAACGAGTTGTAGGAGTATCTTCCACACCAGCACCAGGAGCAGTCAAACGAAAGAGGATTCGTTGTCTCAGCTTTACATGAAAGGGAGGCGTCTCTTCCTCGTGAGCTAAATCACTGGTATAGGGAGTGCAATGAGGATGGATCATATTCCTACCAACATCAGGTGTGTACTCGTCCTCACTACTGCTTGATTCAGCAGCGATATCAATGGCACGATCCTGGCCAGCAGCAGCCCTCAGTCTAGAGGCAAGAGGATCATACTTTGCTGGCAACCTAGCTAGACCCCTGTCCCCCCCCAAGATCATTCCTGTGCCCCCTATGACTGTAGTTTCGATTGCTGTAGTGTCTTGCATTCCTCCTCTCACTAGCAGAAAAAGAGACTGGTCGAGGCTCCTGGAAAGGGGCACGCTGCTGCTGCTGCTGCTGAGCCTGTCCCCGCTGAGCCGCGACTGGTCCCCTCTGGTGAGCCTGTCCCCCCCAATGAGCCTCTCCCCTCCACTGAGCCCGCGGCCCCCTCCTTTCTGGAATAGTCCCTTTTCTAAGCTGGCTAACGCCAAGCCCATCGACCCTAGTTCTAATCCCCCTTGGGACCTGCTTTTGAATACTGTTCCTCAAAGCCACATCAGACTGCAGATGAATATCAGTCTTAGTGTAATCAGCTGCATGTCCGTAGGCGTCTTGCTCAAACTGAGCACTTCCCAAAGGCTGGCAGTTATCCAGCGTTGCATCAAAGTTTCCTCTATGGACATGCTTCGACAGTGCGTCCTGGAGCTTCCCCAGGGGGTTCCCTGAATACTGTTCCTCCTGCTCATCTTGCTGGGGACCACTTCTAAGCCTCTCTTCATTCTTATCAATATTCCATCTGTCAGTAAGATAGAAATAGATTGAGCACTGGCAGTTGCAGAGGGGACAGTTGCAAGCAACTGGCACGCCATTCTCATACTCAAGATAATCGGCACCTGGCTTGCTGCACTCAGGACATGTCCCCCCCCTTGGATCGAGGTTACAGTTGAACTTGCAGCAGTAGCAAGCCATCCTTACATCCAGTATGCCCTTGAGCCTTGGACGCCCCTTCTTATCCCTACTGACTTCATCATGCGCTGCAACAGCAACATCATGCTCCTTCTCCATCTGCAAGTTGTGCTTTTCAACCTCCTTTAGATCATCCACAGGCATGATGGAATAGTTGTCACACATAGGGCATGGAAACCTATCCAGCTTGGCTGGATCAAAGTCCCAATCATCCTGTACACGCGACTGTCCCTTCTGCCAATAGACCTTGCCTTTCTTCTGCTTGGACGCCTTTAGTCTAGTGCTCTGTTCATCATCTTTCATTGCCTTCTTTACTGCTTCACCAACATCCTCAAGCACGTCTGCAGCTGCACGAGTCCTTCTGCTTTCCCTTTTTTGTTGTTGGTCGCTCCTCCCCTTCCTGATCTCCATCCCTGTAAAGAATTTGGCAAGCAATGTAGCTGAATAGGCCAGATTCCAATATTTCTTGATCCTGTACTGAGTGCTTCCTGTCATGGTTACATCATGATACACCCTCTGCATCTCATGGGACAACGCGTCCCCCCCAGGAAAGACAGCTTTGATAAGGTCTTGGTTGAGCTTGTCCCTAATTCCAACCAGCAAATCTTTCTTTTCTTTCAGTGAAAGGTACTTCCTCTTGGCCAGTGTAGCCTGTGCTGTCTCGAACAAAGGATGGGACGCTGCTGGTAGTGTTGGTGGAGCAGGAGGTGGTGGTGGTGGTGGTGGTGGTGGTGGTGGCGCCACTGGAGGAGCAGGAGCTTCCTCTTGATGAAAATCCTCCACAGATGAATCATCTGAGAGTAATGCATCAGCATGGCCTCCTAGAGATCTATTCAGCTGTAGGAGACTATCCGTGGCTTCTCTCTCCTGTGTATTCATCCTATCTGCTAGATCGGTGCTCATACTGCTGTTTGCCGACATCGGAAGAAGCAAGTCGTCGTAAAATAAGAGTCACTACTGTAACACACTAAAACAATACTTCTACTGGGTCCTTTGCTACAGATAAGGGCTTGTTCAATCGACAATCGAAGAGAGCTATCCAGTGATACCACTTACATTAGAAAAGGTTGAGTGTAACTGCTTGAAATGGAGCAATTCCCATGGTCGGTTGGTCCCAACCGTGTTTTTTCGATAGAATGAAAAGAACAGTTTAGCACGCTAATTTAGCACGCTGTATCAGCATGCTGGAGGGAAGTTTTCAGGTCAAGACAGTAGGACACAGTACAATTTTGTACCCGGAATCAAAACCCTTCCATTTTGACCAAAATCTCAAGTCAACTACCTTGATCCACGATTTTCTACAGGATTTTCTACACAGCTTTGTACTAGGATCCATCGAAATAGACTGATCCTGGTCCTCCCTGAGCAGCTGGATCAGCAGCTGGGCGTGCCACCAACGGGTACAGTACAAATTCTACTTACACGTACGTCCCTAACGTCCGGGATATTAACACTAACATTCGGAATGTTAACGCTAACATTCTTAATTAACGAAAGTTCAATTGTTATTTTACGCGTAGTACTTGAAAAATTGAAAACAAGATTCCWCCCCATTTAAATTTGATTTCGATTTCGATTTTGATTCATTCGATCATCAAATCAAAATCTGCATCCAGAATTCGGAACGAAAATCAAAATACCCGACGGCATTGAAAAYGGCTCTGAGAATGGAAATAGCCGGAGTCCAACAATACGGTTGGTTGAATGATGGATGGTGATGTCGACAACAATTGAATAGAACCAACAACAACAAAAACGAAAATAGCAACACAGAGAAATTTGAATGATATTGACAAGACTAGAATAACTGCAAGCTTTTCCAGACTAGTCCAGGTAGAAATCTAATAGTGCTGTTGGGTTGAATGACTGGATTATCTGCGCATWACCGGCGGGGCTATCGATCTTTTCATTTTCCGTCAAACGCGGGATAATGATGTCCCTTTTGTATCAATTCTAGTAGTATACTATTCCATACATTGCACATCTAAACGATATCCGACGTTTCAAAAGCGAAGCAAATACTCGTTTACCCATACACATCGATCATCAGACGAAATGCCATCGGCAGCCGACTACTTGGTCGGGCCGACCATTGGCGAAGGATCATTCGGTCATGTCGTATACGCCGTTCACAAAACCACACAACGAAAGGTAGCCATCAAGGTCATGGAAGCTCCGGTGATGGGTGCGACTGAACATAAGCACCGACAATTGTGGAAAGAACAAAAAACTGCAATGATTTTGAACGAGCGCCGGATCTTGAGCTTACCGGAACTAAAATCATCCAAGTGGATAGTCAATTTGTGGGCGGCCTTTTGCGAATCCAACAGCAGATACCTTTATTTTGTAATGGAATTGGCAACCGGTGGAGACTTACAAGGACTAATCGACCGGGCCTTAACGTCGTCGCGTGCGAAGTCAAAGCGCGATGCCTGGAGAACCGACTCCGTTCCATTCTATGCCTCGCAATTGATCGAGGCAATCCAGTTTCTTCATTCAACGGGGATTCTGCATTGCGATCTSAAGCCGGAAAATGTACTGCTGGATGCCGCCACTGGAGATCTCAAGCTCGCCGACTTCGGATGCGCCTTGGATACGAACCGACARCAACAGAACCGCAACCCATCTTCTCCGCCAATTATGCTCCCACGAGGAACCGCCCGCTATTCCGCTCCCGAACTATTGCAGGCCGAATCACCACTGGCTCTCGATGCAGCCGTCGACTATTGGTCGATGGGATGCATCCTCTACGCCATGTTTCGAGGTAAATCTCCGTTCGATCGCGGTTCGGAGGCCCTCACTATTCGGGCYGTGTTTGACTACTTGGATGGTGCTCCAAGCGATTTATCGCCAAAACAAAAGTGGGCAGAAGAYACTAACGACGATGAAAGCACTCGATATCCACTGTACCGTTTGTCACAAGGTCTTTTCGCAATGATTCCGGGCGATCGGACGACTTTTTGGGCTACCAGCGTGATTCCGTTGTTTGACTCAAAATCACAGGGCGAAAGTGTCGGTGGTGATGATGCAATACACGGCATCGACAACCGGAGATCAGCCACTTTTGCTACTRCATCTAACGAGAGCGGTGTTTTGCCTTCAAATCCAGACTGGAAAGATCAAGTCGAATCCGCAACGCTCAGAAATGGCGATTTGGGGTGGGTCGCATTTCAACTATGAATGAATCGGTTGTTAGGTGGTTCAGAGAGTGCACCAAAAATGAGGTCGTAGGCTGCACGAGTAGGAACCACCAAAAGAGCAAAACCTGTATTGTTACAGTGACCTTATGTGAGTTTTTTTCCTATTATACCCTTCACGAATGAATAAGAGGAAGGGATCTYGGAAAATATGAGGATCAAAAGCAATCGTTATTTTGAATTTTAAAAATTCATATTCCCATTCCTCTCTTCCTTCGTATTCTGTGTTTTTATGTCGTCACGGATCAAAATTGTCGACTTTTGCAAGGACGAACATCCCACCCGGTGCGTTTTGCCGAATGATCAAAAGCTCGTCGTCCAAATAGGTTACGTCGAAAAAACCTTCGAAAGGCGTCCTRGGCAGGGTGAATCCCAGAGGCGGGAGAAAGCCCACGTCGTTCCCCAGCAATTCCACGGGTTCCAGCGCCACGCGTTCAAAGTCGAGGCCTATTCTGTTGTTGCTTGTGCYACTCTTGGGTCGATAKGCCCGCGTTGTCACTTTCGCTCGGAGGAYCGACCCCATCTGGTCCCCCAGCAGCGTGCGAAAGGGGGGTAGGAGATCGATAACGTTGGTCACGCAGGGGGGATCAAAGACCTGATAGATCGCACCCACGGCTACCAGGGGATTCGCGCTGAGGGTCAGAACGTCTGCTGCGGTGGTCCACACCATGCGCCAGCTCCCGTCGAGGGGTGAGACGTCGTCACCATCGCTCCCGTCGATTCCACGAATGGCGTTTTGCTCGGGGTTGGCTCCTTCCAGGTCGGACACGAGGGCGTCGACGGCGTCGAAGGCGCGCCTCGTTGCGCCGTAGCCACGGTCGTACGAGGCCGCGAGTTGCAATAGATCGCGTTTCAGCGAGGCGTTTGCTGCCCCTGCGGGAGAAACATCGTCTTTACTGGATTCGAGCGGTGTTGCCGCGCACAGTACGGAACTCTGGCTCCTCCTCCGGTGAGAGTGGAGGTTCGGACGCTGGGGAGAAAGCGCCGATATTTCAAACCCGTTCACRAAGCCGGTGGCCTTGCCAGAGGGAAATGGTAGACATAACTTCTGGATGGATGCCGCTGCGAGGACAAGCCATAAATTGAGAGTGACGTTCATGATACGTTACTATGGAAAACTATGGAACACGATACTAGGCTCGAGTAGGAGTACGAGCTCCTTGGGATATGGGACATAAAGTCGTGATAGTTTCTACTACTAGTCTCATGTGAAAAGACACAGTGTACGTACGATATTGGTATCCAGGCAGGTCCGACACGAGACACGAACCATGATCTCTTGAAAAGCAAGATCTTACTCCGGGAGTGTGCTCGATAATACTCGACCTTATGGTAGATACGTATGTTTAATTGGTACGTACCGGTATTATGACCCCTGCCGGTACGGTTCTCGGAGAGAACGAACCGTGAGCGTAAGTCCACCTTTGTAGTACGAAACCGTACGTGCGTACGGTACGTATTTTACTCATACTACTACTAGGAACCATAAGTCGTCGTAGTAGTACTACGTACTCGTTCCTACCGAACGTGTCTTGTACTTATCTGTTTGAGACCCATGCGTGCAGTTGGACTCGACTGTTATTTTACTTATGGAACATTCACACGTCATCACCACTCACTGCTCACCAATTTACAAATTTACAAAATTTCTCAGAAGAGCAAGATTCGAGGTGTTTCGTCCCTTCCTCCCTTTTCTTTCCGTAACGATACGGATATTCCGATCACAAGGTACGCTCCGCCAGCGATGAAGTAATCTGATCGGTCACTTGCAGACGACATTGTATCTCCCATTCGTACTTGTGATAGTCTATCATATTACAGTACAAACGCAGCAGCAGCGANGTTCAAGCAAAACCCCAAGCAAGACAAGCAAATACTAACTATCGAAGAACAGAAGCAAAAGCAGTATCAGCAAGAATACTACTACTAACTATCGAAAAACAGCTCCGCAGTATTGTTGCACATCATTAGCCCCCAGCATTGTTGACTCACGACGCGTTGACTCACGACGCAAGAGGTGCATTCTTTGCTCACAAAATTTGCAGCTGGCAGCAGTCCGAGTACCAACCAAGCAGTCCTTGCATACGAGTACTAGTACCGGTTCAAGCAAAACCCCAATCTTGCTCCTCGCATCATAGTACGCATAGTACGTACTACGAGTACTACAAGCGAAACGCCTCCTCCTGCTCCCTTGCATACGAGTACAAGCAAAACTCCCCAGCAACAAAGAAGCAACGCTACCACTACTAGTAATGGCAAGAACACCAAGAGGAGGGACTAATCGGCGCCGTCTCCGGGCTCGGAAAAGAAGGGGAGGAGCTGTAACGCCTCCACGAGATGTGAACCAGCCAGGGCAATGGGGGAGATATCATAAGGTTCTGCTTGAGTTAATGGATCATGTCCATGGAAGAGTGGATGGAGGAGGAGACAACGGCGATGATCGGTTTCCGAATGATACTATATTCACACCAGAGCAGCTGAGTATTCTAACACCAGATCATATTTACAAGTTCTTTGCAAAGAAAGCTTTTGGTCGCGAGGATCCAGGTGTTGATGATAATCCTACTCATGGTAGATCCACTTCTTTAATCTACTACAAGAAGGCCATATCATACTTCATGCCAAATAAGATGCAGAAATGGACAGTTGTTGCCGGTGTTGGAAGAAGCGGGAATCCTACCAAGTCGCAGAAAGTTAACGAGTTGATTGCAGCGGTAATTAAGAAGGAAACTAGAGGCCTAGGGCAGGCAAGCAGCATGGATAGGCCTCTTACAAAGGATGAGTTTTTGCAAACACTAGAACTGATGTCGAATCATGGTTCCATTACCAACAGACTGAGGTTCCTTGCAATGCTCAAGTTCCAGTTCCACTTGATTGGCCGTAACGATGATATGGCTCACGTTAGCAAAGACAGCTTGGAAAAATCAGCTGAATTTCCCCAGTTCCTTACAGCAAAGTTAAGATGGTCTAAGAATGTAAGGGAGGAACGTGATTGCCCGAGACAAATACTGCTTGGATCGATGGATCATAGGAGCTGTGTGGTGCTAGCACTTGCTTTATTCCTTGAAAAGTGGTGCAAAGATGGTGAAGGAGCAGCAGGCCAGTGGCTGTTCACTGAAGGAGTAACAGACAGCGGATCTCACCCAAAGGACATTGAGAAGGAGATTACCAAAGGAAAGGCTGCTTATGCTCGGTTCATCAAGCGCTACGTGTTTGATAATGAAGCCTTTGTTCGTGAAAGACCGGATGGGAAGCTGGGAACTCATTCCTTTAGAAAGCTTGCGACCACGTATGCAAGGCAGTCTGGCGGATGCAGGGACAATGTTGATTACAGGGCGCGTTGGAAGTCTAAAAGACAACAGGATCGATACACTGACACGCAGCTTGCCTGGCCTGATATCGATATTGCAAGCAAGCTTTGCTTTGGAGGGATCTGTCTTTACAAGCCTCAAAGGACTGGAATCACGGATGAGTGGCTCGCTTCTTCAGTTGCACCTAATATTGCCAATGTGTTTGGTAACCAAGTTGCAGCAATTCTAGGAAAGGCCCTGCTTTGGGCTTGCTGTGATCCGGCAATGCAAGCATCTGGGTTGATCCCCGATGATATAAAGAGGGACGTCGTTGGTTCCTGGATTCAATTGAATTACAGTTTGCCAGTTGCTGACAGATTGGATGGTGATGTGAATCCTATCAAGCGTGTAGAGCTGGTTGCTAATGAATTCAGTGGGAAAGTTCACTTTGATGAGCTTGCAGATCCGGATGATCTGGTGGGCGGAGGGGGAGCCCCTGGGGGAGCTGCTGGCGGCGCTCTTGGGATTCGACGGACTCAGCTGCAGTGGAATCATGCAATGTTCTCAAAGCTGTTTGCCACAGCCAATGAAGTGAATGAGATCAAGAATCGACAGATTGCAAGTGAAGCGAGGTTCAATCAGAAGCTCAATCGAGCGATTGAGCTGTCCCAAAGAGCTGCAATGGCGCCAGTCGTAAGAAGGAGGCCCCGGGCCCCTCGTGCATTGAACAGTGGCGCATCCGAGACTGGCAACGCTCAGCTTACTAAGTGTCCTCACGATCTTTATGTCCTCTGGAATGAATGGGAAGTGGGTGTTGGTCTGAACAAGCCTGCAAAGGAGTTTACAGCCGCTGAGCGCGGTAGGGTGAAGAGCAAGTACTCCAGGAGGTTGAAGTTCTGGAGGTGCATGGAGCGGCTGATTCGTGCTGGTTGTTCTTCTGAAGTTGCTGTTAGAAGGATCTATTCAGTGTATGGAGGCCCTTCCAAGCGCGTCTCTTACATCCTTAAAGCTATGGGTCCCCATGAAGCCAATGGGGGTCACCACATGCTTCGCGGACCGGCTGTTGGTGCTGCTTCTTAATCGTGGTCGACGTCGATGCTTGTTCTTTGTTGCGTGTCTTCTTTCCTTACTACTTGTCCCCCCCTTATATCGAAAAAATCATAAAAATATAGTGTACTGTGTATATGTGAACTGTAGTACTGTATTTTGCTATCCTCAACAAGAGGACCATGTTGATAGCTGACAGGAGTGTTGATATCAGTGTTGTTGTCGTTATCGACGTGATTGTCGAGAATTACTCTCCCGACTTGGTTTTTTTCTATAGAATTTGCCTTGTGCGTGATCGTGTGAGTACGTCTCATCAACCACGCTGATACTCCAGCACTTCAGTCTTGCCGTGCACTGTCTATAAGACCTAGTAGTCTTATGTACTGTGTTCTACACGGTTGCATTTTTAGTTGATATTTTGTTTGGTACTTGCTTGGTATCCAGGCAGGTCCGACACGAGACACGAACCATGATCTCTTGAAAAGCAAGATCTTACTCCGGGAGTGTGCTCGATAATACTCGACCTTATGGTAGATACGTATGTTTAATTGGTACGTACCGGTATTATGACCCCTGCCGGTACGGTTCTCGGAGAGAACGAACCGTGAGCGTAAGTCCACCTTTGTAGTACGAAACCGTACGTGCGTACGGTACGTATTTTACTCATACTACTACTAGGAACCATAAGTCGTCGTAGTAGTACTTTACTACGTACTCGTTCCTAGCGAACGTGTCTTGTACGTATCTGTTTGAGACCCATGCGTGCAGTTGGACTCGACTGTTATTTTACTTATGGAACATTCACACGTCATCACCACTCACTGCTCACCAATTTACAAATTTACAAAATTTCTCAGAAGAGCAAGATTCGAGGTGTTTCGTCCCTTTCCTCCCTTTTCTTTCCGTAACGATACGGATATTCCGATCACAAGGTACGCTCCGCCAGCGATGAAGTAATCTGATCGGTCACTTGCAGACGACATTGTATCTCCCATTCGTACTTGTGATAGTCTATCATATTACAGTACAAACGCAGCAGCAGCGAWCAGTCTGTGCAGTAGGGAACAACTCAAGAGCCTGTGCCTTCTAAACGCGACATAGCAAAAACAAACGCTACAGGCAAAACAAATTTTCAGATTTCCAGAATAGAAAAACAAGAACACAAAATAAGCGACCACAACCGACACAGAGCACAACAAAGTATAACCTAAGGAAATACAAAACAACACAACCAAATGCGTTGCGTTTTTCCTTTGGCAAGAGGGAATCGTCGTTTTCATCTCCAAGGSTTCGTTCTGGCGACCGCCATCGCAACGAKAGGCTTTCGTSTACCGACAGCGTCATCTTTRTCCTTCTTTGTGCCACCAACAGGCACGTCATCARCAYTTACGGAAACTATGGCCGGAAYGAAAAATGTCGTTGCTATTGAGCGCGAAGCTTCCGTGACTCCGACGACCTCAAAGGATTTTCTTCTGTCGAATCCGTCGGGGGCCTAYACGACCGCACGAACGTGTGCGGGCGGAACCCGAATCTTTGAGTGGGAAGCACATGTAGAGCGAACGGCTTCATCATTTGCATCGATGGCTGGGGAAGAGGACCATGCAGATGAWCCAGCACCGAGCCTGGCGGATCCCGTACTGCTGAGGCGACGGCTCGATGCTTCTGTAGAAGAGGCTGTCCGATTGTATAAGGAGGTCCACGGCAACGACAGCGGACATGAATTGAAAATTACGGCGCTGGTTGGATGGAACAAGAAAAGCCCCGCAACCCAGACAAAGGGCGATAAAGAYAGCGATGCTTCTGGCATCGAAAACAAGAACACCGAGGGCAACGGCCACGGAACAGAGGACCGGGTCGCGTGCCATGTGACGAGCCTTCCGGCTCTCCCGAAGCCCCCAGTGCGGGTCGAGGTCCGCGGATCCCCGAGGGAMAACGCTCTCGCTAAGAATTCGGCGTGGGTCTCGGATCGGGCGCCCCTGGAAGCCCTCATGGCCGAAGCCGAAACGACTGTAGGACAGATCAATGAACTCCTCCTGACCACCRACAACGGCGGTGAAATTCTGGAGGGATCCCAGACCAACTTTTACGCCCTGATCGATGGGAAACTCCATACGGCYGGCGAGGGAATCCTGGAAGGGACYGTCCGACGGCTCGTGCTGGACGTGTGTCGGGCCGAGGGAATCCCGGTGGTTCTGCGCCCCCCCCGCCTGGACGACCTGGAATCGTGGGGAGGGGCGCTGCTGTCATCAACCTCGCGGTTGGCTCTGCCAATCGATGAATTGTACATCCCGACCGAGGGGTGTCCCAGCGGAAAAGAAGATCTCAAACGAACCTTCGACAACACCGCAGACCAAAGCCTCGCGATGAGAATACAGGCCCTCGTTTCCGCGGAAGTAGAAGCGAGGAGTACCCCCATTGGCAGTGGAGAGCCCGTTCCGTTGTAAAGATCAAGAGTGGATCGATTGATTGACGCGTTTGTGTTTAGGCACTGTTACAAAACGCAACGAACAACTCGTAGAACTCGTGCAAGCAATGAAAGTTTCCAACGGAAATCAACACAGCATATTACTACATGAAAGCACAGAACAGAACAGCACGGCACAAAATGATTGTGCTGGATACTAGTGGTATGCACCACTAATGTGAGGTCTGCACGATGGAGTGATTTTGCTGCATTCTAGTATTACTAGTATCTGTTTCTTTTCTCTGCATTCTATTAGCATTTAAACTTTCTAAAAGAATAATGATTCTAGTAGCAATCGTAGAAGAATAAAGGGTCAAAGTCTCTGTGTAACAACTTTGCGTGCCCACCAGCAGCGCAACAGCAGCATGCACAAAAATTACCTAAGGGGAACTACTACTAGAAGTACGTCACAGTAGTAGTACTAGTAGTATTATTAGTAGTACCATACTGCTTTCAGAGAAGGAGTCCTCCTGCAATTGTTCTCCATGGTTGCGCTCTACAAGGTTCATCTACATATCATTATTTCTCCTGCCCACTTCAACTTCAGATCTGAACTCCTTGAAATCTCATTCCTTTTCATCAAGTTCTCACCATTCCCTTTCTTCTAGAAGTTCCACAGCCCCAACTCCCAAATTAAGCATGCAAATTACCAGAACTTTCACACCACTGTCCAAGTTGGCACATACAGTCCTGCAAAGATCCAATTTTCAATTTTCAGAAGAATAAATCTTGCAATCGGCAGAAAAGCAATCTATTTCACTTTTTCTGAAGTCTGCCCCRATTGCAGTTTTTAGGGTTTTTTCCTGTGATTATCCTTTATTTTCCTCTCTCAAACTCCCATGTAGACTGCAGTACAAGTCGTACACAAAATAACACTGAAAAACAGAAAAAAGAATAAAACAAATAAAACCACTTTTCTGTTCGTTCATTGATTCCCTCATAATTTCCTAACAAGAAAAAATAAAACACTCCAAACCAAAATATAAACTTTCACACAAACAATCATATTTTCCAACATAAAATCACTTATATACTACTAGTAGTAGTAGCTACTGTCGTATAGAGTTGGCCAGCAGATCTGTGATACAGCCATAGATTATGGCCTATCTTTTTGCATGTAATGACTACTTTGACTRAAAAACTGAATTGTACTACCAGTACAGCAGGGGATGTGCTCAAATTTTATTCCTACCAGTCTTGCGACCAAATAGTTTTACATGCACGTGCCCTTCAGTAGCTGTAGTACAAGTCAATTTTTAATCCCATGAGTCATTGCATRGCAAAAATATGGCCCGATCCTTGAACTAACAGTTTGAGCTGTATCTTGGTCCCCAACAGATGCTTAACAATGATAAGCAGATGAATCAAATCCCAGTAAAAAGACRAATTCAGTGATGCGGGGGGTTGTAGGGGGTTCTTACGTATTTAATTATATTAYTGCTGTAMGTAGTATATTKAGTATTACAAATGTACAACTGGATTCTGTTTTTTAGTAGCCAAGCCTATACAATAACCATGATGRATGACAATAACTCTTTCTTCTATGATGACAATTGTTCATATGGTAGTGATGCAAACCTGTCTGATGATCAGCATATTGGTCCAGAGGACCCTCACAGGAGTCCTTCCCAAGAGGACAGCAGCATTCTCAGCAGTGATGCTWTTGGTTCTCTTGAAAGTGCTCCTGATGCCACCAAGTAGCCTGATGTATCATCTGGTGATAAAGAGATCCAAGAACTCCTTTACCATGACCTCTCTGATTCATCTGGTCTGGTGGAACAAGATGAGCTGGACTAACTTTGCCAGGACTTGATCTGAGTCTCTCTACTACTCCTGTSTACAAACATGTCAGATATGATCATGAAGAACTTACCAATGCAAAAAATCTATGGAAAATTSCAAAGCCCAGGCTACTACTAAAGTCATAGCAGCATGTGCTGACTTCTCAAGGTAGTACAAGGACATGAAGCAACAATCAATTTTGTTGACAATGATTGAGAGTATCTGCTGCTGGTCCTCTGTAAAGGATSAGAACTGGTTGAAACACCAGGGGGAGGAATTGGCAGCAATAGCATCAYAGCTTGGAAGCTGGGTCATGATGCAGAGGAATGGTCTCCCYTTGCCCTCCTCTGCCCACCAGTWCTACTATACTGCACCTGGAGGAGGTGCAACCCCACCAGCAGTATGTCCTTCCTGCGCAGCAACAAAGAAAGCAGTAGATGGCTGCAATGCCAAGGTGGAAGGGTTGGCMAATTTGTTGTTTGACAAAAGAATCCTCCAGCTAACAGCAAAYAAGTCCAGGAAGTGGTACACCTTTAAAGAAGATTGG